CTGGGTCTTCCATTTTGCAGGGAACGTCACTTGTGTTAAGTATTCGTTGAATAATTCGGCGGACGTACTAGGGTGCAAGGCGAGGGTAGCTTTAGCGCACGATTTGGAATCCCGTCCGGCCCTGGAGCTGTGTTGGTTCTAAGACCTCTGAGAGCTGCTAAGATTTCTTCGTCTGTAACTAACACAATTTGAGTGCTCGTTGAGCCCTGATTAGTAGACTCGGGAAACAATACTGGATCATCGCGACCCTGGACGTTAACAACGCCTTCAAGACAGCTAGTTGGGATATGATACTGATTGCGCTGTCACAATATAATATCCCTAAATATCTAAAAGAGATAATACAGAGCTACTTCAGAGTAAGAACACTGGTATACAACACGAGTGAGGGTCCCCAAACTCATACAGTGTCCGCTGGAGTACCCCAAGGCTCAGTGCTGGGGCCTCTCCTATGGAATATCATGTACGACGGCGTACTGCGCTTGGAAGTACCAGCGGCTGCACACACCATTGACTTTGCTGATGATGTGGCTGTCGTCGCCATAGGTAAGGAGCTTAATGATACAGAGGATATGTGCAGCGAAAGTATCAATCGCATACGAAGCTGGTTGACAGGAGCTGGGCTCGAGCTAGCGGCGCACAAGACGGAAGTCGTCCTAGTAAGCAGTCGCAAAAAAGTGGAGATTGCCAATATAAGGATAGGCAGCGTCACCATCGCGTCAAAGAGGGCGATTAAGTATCTTGGCGTCATGTTAGACACAAGATTAACTTTCCGCGAGCACTTAGAATATGTGCATAAAAAGGCAGCTGCTTCTTATAGAGCTCTCTCAAGAATTATGCTTAACACACGGGGACCTAAACAGCAAGGACGATTTCTTCTTATGAGCGTCATTAGGTCTGTCATCCTCTATGCTGCGCCAATATGGTCAAGAGCGATGGCAACGCCTAGCTACAGCCGGGACATTTGCGCCATCTACAGACTGAGCGCAATCAGAGTCAGCTGCGCTTTCAGGACTATCTCCGATAATGCGGCGCTTGTCATAGCCGGCATGGTGCCACTGGAGTACCTGGTCGCCGAAGCCGTGGAGCGGAGTTCGCACGCGCCTGTGCGACACAACGCTATCAGGGCGAACAGCATTGCACGATGGCAAAGGAAGTGGAATAGCTCAGCTAAAGGGCGGTGGACGCACAAGCTCATCCCGGAGCTTGAACCATGGGTTAACCGTAAACACGGTGAGGTTAACTTCTATCTCTCGCAGATCTTCTCGGGCCATTGATGCTTTCGGAACTATTTGAAGCGCTTTGGTCACGAGGAAACTGACTCGTCGCCCCTGGTGCGGGCGAGGGCATGTGGAAGACGCCAACCACATCCTTTTCATATGTGGACGGTTCCTGGAGGAGAGGCGTCGTCTAGAAGAGGCAGTGGGCCGCTCCATCAGAGCGGACAACATAGTCAACGCTATGCTGGAATCGGAGGAAGCTTGGGAACTAACAAGCACCTTCGCGGCAACAGTGATGATGGAGCTCCGCAGAGTCGAGCGAATAAGAAGACGAGCTGTACCAGGCTAAGGAAGCGCATAGTGCTAGCGAAGCAATGCTTTACGGCCGTCGCGCGCTATCCGAGCCACCACTCAACTTGCAATTTGTAAAATATTAAGATCTTCAATAAACGAATATATAAAAAAAAAAAAACAAGTAAGAACGTTGCAGTCGGGCGTTACCGACTGCGGAATACTCATTCACATCCCATCAACAATTTAGTAGTTAAGCTTCGCTCTAATACTGTAGAATGTACAGGTTTTATCCGATTTGCCACGCCCCAACTGGGCGTAGACACCTCATTTTTGGTCAGTTTTTAAAACGAGATAACGGTACCCTAACTGCAAAGTTTGAATGCTTAACCTCAAAAAAAGTGAAAATTACAGGGTATTTTTCGATATGCCACGCCCCTAAAGAGGCATAAAAAATATTTGTTTGAGGAATCGATAGAGGAGGCTACCAGTAACTCAACTATCAAAATTTGAAGCTTCTAGCTATTATACTTTAGGAGATATCAACTTTTTCGGTTTGCCACGCCTCCTGTGGGCGGACATATATCCGGCAAAGCTTTTTGGTCTTGGGTGATCAGCCTGAGTATATATACAAAATTTGAGATCTCTGGCACCAATAGTATCCAAAATATTGCAGAATTCGAAAAATCACTATATCTTCAGGTCCGATTTGCCACGCCCCTAATGGGTGTAGACTTCTAATTTTTCTTAAGTCTTAAGACTTTATAGAATCATAACATTAGCTGACATGCAAAATTTCAGCATTCTAAGTTTACAACTTTAGGAGATACAGTTTTATCCGATTTGCCACGCCCCCAATGGGCGGAGATATATCCGCCATAGCTCGTGATCCTGGGTGGTCGACGCGGACATACATAAAAAATTTCAGCTTTCTAGCTCTTCAACTAACATGATTTCTGGTATATCGGAAAATGCATTTTCCGATTTGCCACGCCACTAGTAGGCGGATCGGGAAAATTGTAACACTTTATAAATCGGAGATATACACGAGTATGTGTTCCAAATTTCAAGTCTCTAGCTTCAATAGCGTCGAAATAGATTGCGTTCATACGGACAGACGGACAGACGGACGGACGGACAGCAAGACGGACATTGCACAAAACCAATATACTGATTCACTTTCGTGAATGAGTATAAAAACACACGCACACAAACATACACAGACACACACAAGCACCCACGCATAAACACGCATGGGCTGCAGTGTGCGCTTACTATGAGAAGTTAATTGTTTAATAACTTTTTTTGTTTACCCATTTTAATGGGAAATCAGGGTATAATGGTTTTGTTGAAATGTATGTAACAGTCAGAAGGAGGCGTGGCAGACCCCACAAAGTACATATATACTTGATCAGGGTGACGAGCTGAGTCGATTTGGCCCTGTCCGTCTGTCCGTATGAACGCGTCGATCTCAGAAGATATAAGAGCTAGAGACTTGAAATTTTCTTCCCTAGGTCCGTGTATAGCACGCGCATGTCGAGTTTTGCTTTAAAATTAGATAACTTGCCCCGTTATTTTGTTATCAATTAAAAGCATTATCGAAAACCAGTAAAGCTGAACTCTCCAAATTTTATATGTATACTTATATGCTGTAACGAACCTTCGGTTTATCCCGAGTCTAAGCTCGGCTAGTTTCAGCTGACTGTGGATTCGTGCCAACAAATTTATTTGTTGAAGCCCCTGCGATATTAATTAGTCACTTGTGAATTTAGGTTTTATAGCGTAAATGTATATTCTCTTAATAAGTTTGAAATGTACACGTCACTTAAATTTAAGCTGGTTCGCTGGTTGGCTTTAGCGAAGCACACCTACTGAGTGCTGGTTCAACGCACTCCGGCTGGGAGAGTGTTGTGCTAAAACACGCTAGTTCACCGGGACGATTCGGGAAACGCCAGGATTTCGATCTGTAAACTCTGGCGGTTCGCTCAGATATACAGGCCTCTCCTACTATCCCACTCGTTCACAGCACACCGCTAGCTACGTTTCACTCACAAACACTTCTCTTGCGCACGGCTACGTGAACTTTCTCAGATGTGCAGGCGTCACTTAAGCCGCTAATATGCACCGATGTCGTGATCGGTGCCGCTGATGATCCGCAAGGATTCCCTCTGGATGTCCTTGCTGTTCCCACGATGTCCTTGCTGTTCCCACGATGTCCTGGGAGTCCTGATTTACCACTCGCGTTGACTTTCACTTCACTTTGGCACTTTCTTCACGCACTTCGACTTTCACTTTATATCTTCTCTTCACTATAGTTTCGACCGCGCGTATGGAGCTGCTGGTGGCCTTTTATACCCCAGCCACAGGCCCTGCTTCGTGTGGTAACGGGGCCTGTTCGGCTCTGGAGCGGGGCCTTTTTGTTGCTCGTGCCCATAAAAACGGTAAAGTGGCGTGATCTGGGTGACGCCACTTTCCCGCCAAATCGCGTGGCAGCCTCCCATTGGCCGAAGTACCGTTGTTGCCATGCGAGTGAAAATGTTCACTGCCCGAACGGCACCTCGGCTAACGGTCCCCGATGATCGTCGTGCGTGCGACGCGAACCCATTGCTGAATCTGTAGGAGCGAAAGCGACCGCCTCTAACAGGACTTTGACCCCCTTTCCAGTGCGAGGGTCGCTCCTACAGTATTCGCGTCGCTGTGTGGAGCAACATGTATATGCACGTGTATGCATATAAACGCACAACAAATACGTACGTTCATATACACTCATACGTGCATACCTATATTGCTCCTCACAATGCGTGTTATACAATTTCGGGTTTGTCAAAATATAACCCCCACCCCTAATTCACCCCCTCACCCTCACATTTATAAGTAGCGTATTTCAAATACTAGGAGCTTGTGCGTTAACAAATACATGCATATCTATGTTATATTCATAATCTGAAAGTTTCATTAATATAGTCCATCCACAAAAAAGTTATTAAACCATAAACTGTGCATATGCGAATAATTACTGAAATATCAGTTGCTCGAAGGGGATCAGGGGATCCCGTAGTCGTTCAGTCTCGACTAGAGCTTTCTTACTTGTTTATTTTGTGTGAGCAGAAAGGCGCGAAAATTTATTTAAATATCAATTTTTAGAAGGGTTCAGGGGATTTCGTAGTCGAGCAGTCTCGACTAGAGCTTTCTTACTTGTGTTAAGCAGTATGTAATATGCGTAGTGTCAATTCAACGAGTAACAAGTAACTAGAAAAAGGGTTAGAGAGCAAGTACTCAGCGGAACGTCTTATTGGAATCGGGCATTAACACGTTTAATAAAACTATCATACTCTGATCGAAGAAGGGTTAATGAAGCATGAAACAAAAACTTAACTCTTTGTATTTATTTTCTATGATTAGCTCAATTTTACTTTTATTGTGGATTGTTAATACGAAGACCATAAAAGTCTAATTTATCTAACTGTTTCTTTTTCCACATTTCTTCAGCAGTGAAAATGAGACGAAACGCGTCAGTTCTTCTTTGACCTCATCGGTACCCATCGTAAACTTAAATTTACAATCCCCGAAAATTCGCGGTGCATGTGTTGATAATAATAGTGGAATTATCATTGCAGAAGATCTACTAACTATAAGTAATGCGGAAGGTAAATCAATGTCACAAAATAGTGATCAGCCTTTATCCATGTCAGAATCATTACCGAGAGTATCGCAAGCAAGAAACATTAATTTATTAAGTAAGGAGAGCGAAATTATTGATCTAGAAGCCAGTGAACATCACCTAACCTCGCCGACACCAACGAGTCAATTAGAGAACGAAAGGAATACTAGACATAGCATTACCACAAGTACATCGACAACTAACATTAATCGTCAACTTGAATCAGAGTTAGATGTCATTAAAGAAGTTAAAATTGAACTGATTGAGTCTTCCGTCTACAAAAATAGTAACACGCTACAAGAGCTTGTTTCCGGTCCACCAATCAATATATTTACGAAAGAAAGTGACCCTAAAAATAATTCTCATCTCATTAACAAAGAGAAATTAGGAAGCGTTAATAAGATAAATGTATGCTCGGAAATTACTGTCGAAGAAAAAATTGATTATCATATTCAGGAAAATGAGGTTGAACTGTCACCCACTACTGATGAGTATCAAGAAGGAATGCATTTTAGTAATAAGGACGTAGTCTTCGACTACGATATTATAGAAACCGAGAGATATCTTGGCTGCACAGCACCTGCACCGACACCGGCTCCTTCATTGGCACCGCTCGCTGTACTAGAAGTCGATATAGTGGATGATGAACCCTTAGATGAGTCTGCAGCTGCCAAAACTCCAACTCCTGTATTAAACAACGATGAAGTTTGTCGGCGGCGTAAAAAACGAAATTCTGCAACTAAGAAGTTAAGCTCATTTGACGAACGAGATAAAATAACTGAAAAGCCTGACATCCCTGCGTTAACATATACTGATGAGGCCGAACATAACGCAGTATGTCCCTGGGAAGATGAGTAAGTATAAAAATATATTACAAGAAATTCATTGACGTAACCCTTGAATTCCATTATTATAGAAATGTTAACACCAGCGACGGAACATTTGTCAAGACATATGCAACATTGGGATATTTATGAATACAACCATCATAAATATAGGCAACAGATTATGAAGTTACTTTCTTATTGTAGTATGAATTCAAATATATTATTATGTTTACATAACTTAACTAATTCAATGTATATAATTATGGATACAAAAATGCATATCCGCTTCGCATGTTAAATAAAAACGGTTTAAAAAATAAAGAATTACTTTGGTGAGACCAATTAAGTATTTTTATAGCCGTAGGAAACAATTTAAAACAAGTAAGAAGACTCTAATCGAGACTGCTCGACTAGGAGATACCCTGAACCCTCTAATCTGATATTCTAATCAGTCTGCAATTCTTTTCGACACACATACATACACACGAACATATTAGAACGCGCTCTGCTTACAGCGAACTTACAGCGACTGCGCGTGAGCTGCGCTGCGGTGTGTGCAATATTATAAGAATTTTTTTGTTGAATATTTTAATTTCTAGACAAACAATCTTAATGCAACTTTCAGAGCGTAATCATAGAGTGAAAATGTATTCCAAAGCACAAGTCTCTAGTACTTGAAATACGCCTTTGACAAAGGTGAGGGTAAAGGGGTGAATATAGAGGTGGGGGGGTAAATTACAACAAAACCGAAATTATAGAAAATACATATAAGCCTACATTCAAAATTTGCAGTTTCTAGCTCCAAAGGTGTAGGAGATATAATTAAATAACTAGCTTTCGATAAGGTTTTTGATCGATAATAAAATATCGGGAGTAATTATCGATATATAAAGAAAAACTTGATATGCGCGTGATATACACGGACTTAGGAAAAAAATTTCAAGTCTCTAGCTCTTATATCTTCTGAAATCGACGCGTTCATACATACGGACGGACGGACGGACAGACAGATGGACAAGTCCAAATCGACTCAGCTCGTCGCCCTGATCAAGAATATATATACTTTGTGGGGTCTGCCACGCCTCCTTCTGCCTGTTACATACTTTTAACAAAACCATTATAACCTGATTTCCCATTTTCAATGGGTTCAGGGTATAACAAGTAAGAAAGCTCTAGTCGAGACTACTCGACTACGAGATCCCCTGAACCCTTGGAGTAATAGCTATTTCAATCATTTTTCGCGTCTTTCAGCTTACACAAGAAACACGCACACACACACACACACATGCACGCACGCACGCACACACAGGCATACATACACATACACACACATACATACACACATAAACACACACACACACACACACACATACACAAACAATTACATACATATACACACACAAGCATAAACACGCATGGGTGGCAGTGAGCGCTTACTATGAGAACTTAATTGCTTAATAACTTTTTTGTGGACGTACGATCTTCATGAAACTTTCAGATTATGATTATGACATGGATATGCATGTAATAGCCAAAGCACAAGTCTCTAGTATTTGAAATACGCTTTTTACAAAAGTGATGGTGAGGGGGTGAATTTAGAGGTGGGGGGTAAATTTTAACAAAAACCGAAATTGTATAAATTGCATATAGGCATACATTAAAAATTTGGAGACTCTAGCAATAAAGGTGTAGAAGATATAATTTTATAACTGGTTTCGATAAGGTTTTTTATCGATAAAAAAAGATCGGGATGAGTTATCGATTTTTAATGATAAACTTGATATGCGCGCTGTAATTACGGACATTTAAAAAAAAAATTTCAAGTCTCTAGCTCTTATATCTTCTGAAATCGACGCGTTCATACATACGGACAGACGGACGGACAGACAGACGGATCTCAGCTCGTCGCCCTGATCAAGAATATATATACTTTATGGGGTCTGCCACGCCTCCTTCTGCCTGTTACATACATTTCAACAAAACCATTATACCCTGATTTCCCATTTTCAATGGGTTCAGGGTATAACAAGTAAGAAGACTCTAGTCGAGACTGCTCGACTAGGATATACCCTGAACCCTCTAATCTGATATTCTAATCAGTCTGCACTTCTTTTCGACGCACATACATACACACGCACGTATTAGAACGCGCTCTGCTAACTGCGCAGTAAACAGCGACTGCGCTTGGGCTGCGCTGTAGTGTGGGCAACATTATAAGAATTTATTTGTTGAATAATTTAATTTTTAGACGTACAATCTTAAGGAAACTTTCAGGGCGTAATCATATGGTGAAAATGTATGTACATTCCAAAGCACAAGTCTCTAGTACTCTAGTACGCCTTGTACAAAGGTGAGGGTGAGGGGGTGGATATAGTGGTGGGGGGGGGTGGGTAAATAACAATAAAAATCGAAATTATATAAAATACATATAAGTCTACATTTAAAATTTGCAAGCTCTAGCTCTAAAGGTGTAGGAGATATAATTAAATAACTAGCTTTCGATAAGGTTTTTAATCGATAATAAAATATCGGGAGTAGTTATCGATATAAAAAGAAAAACTTGATATGCGCGTGATATACCTAGGAAAAAAATTTCAAGTCTCTAGCTCTTATATCTTCTGAGATCGACGCGTTCATACATACGGGCGGACGGACAGACAGACGGACAAGTCCAAATCGACTCAGCTCGTCGACCTGATCAGTAATATATATACTTTGTGGGGTCTGCCACGCCTCCTTCTGCCTGTTACATACTTTTAACAAAACCATTATACCCTGATTTCCCATTTTCAATGGGTTCAGGGTATAAAAACGGTACTAGATATTCGGAATTGTACTAAGCACGCAAATATGAAATTAGGGTAGAGGAGGCTATCTCCCCTAGCTAGCGAGCATCGAAATAAATCCTCGTATAAACTTCGAAGTGAGATAGGAATCACAAACATATACAAAGTGCCAGTTGTGCAGTTATGCCCCCAAGTGTTCGAGTCAATACAGATCAGTCGGCCAGCTAAGAGTACCAAAATTTTCATATGCGATCGGTATGGTGGAAACAGATTGTTTAAACCCAGAATAAGAACAGTTATTAAGCAATTAAGTTCCCATAGTGAGTCCACATTGCAGTCCATGCGTGTTTATGCGTGCATGCCTATGTGTGTCTGTGTGTTTCTTGTGTAAACAGAAAGGCGCGAATAATTATTGAAATATCAATTCTTAGAAGTGTTCAGGGGATTTCGTAGTCGAGCAGTCTCGACTAGAGCTTTCTTACTTGTTATACCATGAAGCCATTGAAAATGGAAAATCAGGGTGAAATGATTTTGTTAGAAGTATGTAACAGGCTAAAGAAGGCGTGCTAGACCCCACAAAGTATATATATTTTTGATCAGGGCGACGAGCTGAGTCTATTTGGCCCTGTCCGTCTGTCTGCCTATCCGTCCGTCCGCCTGTCCGTATGTTTGAACGCGTCGATTTCAGAAGATATTAGAGCTAGAGACTTGAATTTTTTTTTAAATGACCGTATATACAGCGCGGATGTCGAGTTTGCTTCTAATATTCGATAAGTCATCCCGTTATGTTTTTATCGAATAAAAACTTTGTGAATGATTTTTCATTTTTTTAAATTTCTCAAATATTCAATATAATATGTAGATCATATGCTAAAAGTTTCATTAAATTCCGTTAAGTCAATCGACGTTAAAAAATAATAAAATGTTTGGGCAATTGTCAAACGCTCGTGCTGCAGCTACAACAGTTTTCGTATACGTGTGCACACATACATATATTCAAACATCTATAGTTTAGTTTTGCTAGAAGGCGCTGCAGCAGTGAATCTATTTCAGTTTGGCAACGCACCTTCCAAAAGTGAGGTGGCGCAGTGAGTAGCGTGACGCTCGATCGATACTCGGGTATATCTTTATAAAGTGTTAAAATTTCCTCGATCCGCCCACTAGGGGCGTGGCAAATCGGACCGGAAAATATAGTGATTTTCCGAATTCTGCTATATTTTAGGCACTATTGATGTAAAAGACCTGAAATTTGGTATATATACGGGGGTTGACCACCCAAGTCCAACGAGCTATGATAGATATATGTCCGCCCATAGGGGGCGTGGCAAACCGCAAAAGTTTATATCTCCTACAGTTTAAGAACTAGAAGCTTAAAATTTTGACAGTTAAATTACTGGAAGCCTCTATCGATACGCCAAAAATAATTTTTACGCCTCTTTAGGGGCGTGGTATATCGAAAAATACCGTGTAATTTTCACATTTTTTTGAGCGTAAGATTTCAAATTTTGCAATTAGGTTACTGGTAGCTCGTTCTGGAAATGGAAATGGCCAAAAATTAGGAGTCTACGGCCACTAGGGGCGTAGCAATAGGCATTTATAATGCCCAAATTGCGATATTTATATACGTCAGCCATCTATTTATGTATTTGTGCATATAAATAAGCTTAATAGATATTCAAGTTAAGTTTCGTGACGCCATATCACTCTAGCGGCGGCCACATCCAAGGGTATGCTTATCGTGATTCAGTTTTCCAAGATTCAATTAGCCAAAAGAATAAAACACATCAGAATATTTAGATTTAAGTCGTTATAATTTTGTACTGCATTGTTAATATTCGTTGTTATTTTGAGCATCGTCTCATTTGGCTCAACTGCCAAATACGGACTGCCATTCGTCAGCCTGTATTTTTCGCGGTTACGAGGTCGACGTCGTAGCAGCAGAGCGGCTACGGCCGCTGTCGCTGCCGAGATATGTTGGGAAGTGATGCCTTTTGCCTGTGCAGCACGATGTTCCGTATCACCGGTGATTGTTGCAGACGTTTGGCTTCGTGTGGTTCTGGGTAATAGAACGTCAAAACTCGGATTTGCCCTGCGTTTAGTTCTCGTGCTTCATTCCTCGTCGCCTCGATGGCCGCTTCAATTTCATCCATATTACTATGTGGATCAGGTTGAAGTATCCATCCACTCTCCTTCCGCTGCCCTGTCTCAACGTCGCTACTGGTTCGCCATATTTGAAGACGTGAAGAGATCGCGTTGATATTAAGCATGTTAATGAAGTTAATGCGATGCTGGTGATATGCAATGTGTTAGTGATACAATTTTCTTCTTAATACTAACAATTTTCCTTATGGGATTGAAAAAACCAGAATAAATGTTAATTGGTGTTCTCAATTAGTGTGCGTTAGTGTGCGTATTAGTATGCTGATTTAATTAATCCAGAATAAATGTAAATTGGTGTTCTCGATGTGCTTGCGTTAGTGTGCGTATGAGTATGCTGACTTTTTATGCCCTAAACCCATTGAAAATGGGAAATCAGGGTATAATGGTTTTGTTGAA